ACTTTTATAAAGAATATCTCTTTGGATTTGAGACTTTGGTCTTTGCAACTTTACAGAGCTTCTTTATGCACCAAGAGCTTGTAACACTCCAAAGAGAAAGGAAAAATTGAAATCGCATCATATGACCCCTTTAAGATATGTTGAGGTCCAACCTGACTTTCATACTGTAGTATGGACAGATGAAAATAAAAATAAAATAAAGAAACAGGCATTTTATTAAAATATCTTGTTAATTGTGTTAATTTTGGGGTGAACTTTCCTTTTATGCCAACTCAAAGCACATGCATACTCTAAATATTGAGATGCATATCATCAAAAGACTGGAAAATTTCAAGATGCATTTTTATAGCTATCCTAGTTTCTGATTTATTGGTTTTAGTTTTATTGTCCAGCTCAACTCCACAATGGATTACATCAGAATCCTTGCAGAGCAAAGCTCAGCAGCATCTGTATCACAACAATGCTTCTTTTTTTCCCAATCGTATTTTCCCTGCTCCACGGCTGCATTATGTACCAGCCAGACGAGGCAGATAAGGCCTCACATCCTGTTACAGTAGTCAGTCACTGGGTAATACTCTTCTTTTATCACTGTTACAGCTCCTCAATTTAAGATCAGGGGTTAGCTTTAATCTGCTCCTGTATTTTAAGCACCGCTCCGGCTCGGTCGAATTCCCCGGGATAAAGATAAACAGGGATGCAGCAGTCCAGCAGAGGGACATTGGGTAATCTGATCTCTGATCAAATCCTCCGGGCTCCGGCGCGCTGGGATGCTAGCCGCCATGTGCTCCATGTTTCATGAGGGTTGCAAATCTGCCACAATATAATAAAGCAACAGATATGTAAGGCTGATTCATTCGTAATACCAGTAACAGAAGCGGTAAATCCTACCAGAGAAACAAATCCGGTTTGGGTGTGCAGGGCTCTCCTGGAGATTGGGTAAATTTCTGACAGAGCATTAGCAACATTTCAAGACAGGCACTTGCTCAACTATTTAATGCCTAGCCTGCTACAACTGGTTAAGAGTGCAATATCACATAAGGAAATGACTCATTAAAAATTACAACTAAATTTGTTATTGTTGTGAACAGAAAGGATTAGAGGAATAAGGCCTGGTAATGTTCCAACAGCACCATTAAAAAAACAGCTCATACATTTAACCAAGAGGAAGAACAAATGCATCGTTCCCTTGCCCTCTCTAAGTTGTCATTATTTTTCAATTAGGATTAACTGTCATAATAGCAGCGTGAAGTGAGGGATCACATTTCCTTGAAGGTTTTACTGAAGTAGCTCATTAGAGTTTCTGGAAATACTATTATAACGCTGTCTGCGCATTGTTAATCACTTCTAATAGGATATTCCTTTAAAGTACAACTTTTTTGACCTGATAAGCAAATAAAACAACCAGAACTATCTTGGAAACACGTCATGCAAGTACAGCTCCTGTACTTCTTAAATGGGGAAATAAAACTGTTTGCCACATCAAATCAGCAATAATATTCAACAACGAATCAATGTCTTCATCTTAAATGACATTTTTCTTTTAAAGTGGATCCAGTTAATGCATATGTTCATTCCAGTGTTATTTACATAATATTATTATTATATATAAACATAAATTTTTATATTCTGAATTAGCTTTAGTTTTTATACTAATAACTAAATTTCAGTTATATATAATTGAAATTCAGTCAATATATAATTTCAGTTTTAAATTTTGTTTAGGTTTTTATTAATTTGTTATGTTTATTATTTATTTATTTATTTTTTTTATTTAGTTTTCATTTATTTTTATTTCAGTTTCAGTTTTAATTCTTCAACATACGTTTCTTTTGGTTAGTAAATGCAGCATTTATAATTTGTTTTTCATCTAATACTTATATTTTATTTCTGCTCTATTTCAATTACTGAAAATTAAGTATTAGTTTTTGTTAACAATAAAAAACACTCACACATTTTAAAGCTGCATGAGTGCAAATAATCCCAAAAAAATAAATTTCATAAAAATTCAAAATCTCGTCTTGCTGCTGCTAAAATATCAAGTCTAACTTTCGAACATTTTCATTTTTTGAATTTGGTTTAAGTTTAGTTTTATTTCAGTTTTAGTTCCTCAAGAGAAGCTTATTTCAGTTAGCCAAACTAAAACGTATCCTTTCTGTTTGTTTTTCATCTAATATTTATGTTTTATTTTATTTTCCCTTTATTACAATTACTGAAAATTAGGTTTAGTTGACAATAAAAACAAATGAAATGCAATTTCATAAAAATGCAACATCTCATCTTGTTGCTGCTAAAAAAAAATCTTGTGTGAAAAAATGTTACAAACGCTCTTCATTCTTGTACTGTCTCTGTTGTGACAGAGTGGCAGTGCACATGCTCTTGACGTTTGTTTCCTGCTCTTTGCTCACTATACAAGTATCCTAAAAAACAACTAGCTTCTCTAAGCTGTCAGAGCGAGAGATAAACCTGAACGGCAGCAGCAGTTGTCAGTTACTGAGGCGCATCAAAGGTCCGGGCTCTGAGCTTTAACATCGCTGTCTGTGCGTTTTCTCTCAGTCTGACGCTGTGAGTGACACAAAGTGGCTCAGGGCAGGAAAACCTGCATAAGCTCTGCCTGCCCCGGACATGGACAAAAATATGATTTATGATTTACTGCGAGCAGGTCTAGACGAGATATTCAAAATTAAATGCAGGTCTGAGAGAGGATGTGAATTTTGATTTTGTTTTGGGTCACATCAAATGCCTCTGAAGCCACGTAAACAATACAATATTTTGGGGGTGATGACTGCATACAAATGAAGTCAAAATTTATCATTTTAATTTTGTATACACATTTCTGATCTTATATGCAATATACCACATGCTATTCCACAGAATAGACATGATTGTGATCGTAATCATTCATCAAAATATAGCAACTACACCTCTGAATCCCTCTTTTTCAACCCCACTTCCAACAACATGACTACATACTAGTATACAGTATAATGCCCATTTTTCACAATCCAATCAATTTCCAAAATATGTCACAAAAGCTGCATGTTATAAATGAAGCACTGTGAAATATAAACTCACAATTGCAAGAAAAAAGTAAGAACTGTGAGAAATTTTATCTCATGGTGGCAACAAAAAAAAAGAGATACATTTTTTTTTAGATATAAACATGGAATTGCAAGATATCAAGGCAGAATTGTGAAACATAAACTTGTAATTCTGAAAAAAAACTGTCTGAATTGAGATATAAACTTTGCAATAAAAAAAAGTCAGAATTGTGAAATGAAAAGTAGCAATTACCTTTTTATTTTTTATTTTGTGGTGGAAACAAAAAACAAGAATTGCGAGATATAAACCCAGAATTATGACAAAAAAAAATGGAATTGTGAGATGTAAACACAGAATTAGGACAACCCCCCTCAAAAAAAAAATGGAATTGTGACATGTAAAACAGAATTAGGTGCGAGATGTAAACACAGAATTCTAAGGAAAAAGTCAGAATTCTGAGTTTAAATCTCGTAATTCTAAATTTATATCTTGCAATTCTGAGAAAATTGTGAGAAAAAAGTCAGAATTTTGAGATACAAAATTTGAGATTACAAAAAGTAAGAATTGTGAGGAAAGTCAAAATTACTTTGTTAAATCACGGTGACAACAAAAAAATGAATTGTGAGATATCAAGGCAGAATTGTAAAGTATAAACTTGTAATTCTGAAAAAGTCTGAATTGTAAGATATAAACTTGCAGTTGCAATATAAAAAAGTCTGAATTGTGAAATAAAAAGTAGCAATTTTTTACTCTGTGGAAAAAGTTGTAAACCCAGAATTAAAAAAAAAAAGGGAATTGCAAGATGTAAACAGAATTCTGAGGGGAAAAAAGTCTGAATTCTATGTTTATGAGTTTATATCTCGCACTTTTGAGAATATTGCGAGAAAAAAGTCTGAAATGTGAGATACAAACTTAGAATTACGAGAATAAAGTCTGAACTATTAGATAAACAGTCACAATTACATTATTTTAAAGTAAGCGGAAAAGGGCTTCCATACATAACAGAAGTAAAACTCAGTAAAAAATACTTTTTCTACACCATTCTGAACATTGAAAAATGACTTGAGTGTTTGAATTTTTTTTTTTTGCAGTCCTAAAATTTGACACTTAATCAAATTGCACTTTTGCAACCTACGCCGTCTAGACGAAAACACAACTTTCTGCTCCTTGAAGTGGTAAAAAGCGAGTGGAAAATGCAATATAATAGCAAGGCCTCTATTTGTCTGTGCCAAAAAACCCACTGCTATTGTTTCCACAAAGGACTGTCAGGAGGACAACGTCTAAGTGGATCAATGATGCATTTTTAGGGGGTTTGTTTGTGCTAAGCCTCAAGAGGCCCCTCATCTAGTGGTGATTAAATTGCATTAAAGAATCAAACCCTCTTAATTACCGCTATTATCATCAATAGGAAATTAGGCAGTCTGAAAATGACTGTGCTAATTAGCCTGTTTGTGACTCGGTGTTTATTCGGCTTTCAGCAGCTCGTTTGCCTGCAGTGGAATGATAGGGTTTGTGAGCACGCAGACATCTGTAGAGCAATTACAATCTGCCACTCAAACACAAGCAATCCATCTTCTTCTGAGGAATTCTCCATCACCACTAACCGAGACACTTGAGTTGAGGTATGATTCGCGCCATATGTGATTACATCATAATAACAGATGGTAATATTGCAACACGAAATGGCGAAATGGCAAAACATTAACATTACATTCATGTCATGAATATGTCCAGAATATTTCCAGAAGTACAAAGCAAAATGATATTGTGTAAAAGGATTAGTAAAGACTACCTTAGGACCAATTTAGGACCTACATTTTTTGCGTGAGAATTAAGCATCACATTGTCATTATGCTAAAAAAAACAATACATTCTCATTACTGTAATGCAGAAAAATAAAATGATGCAGAACAGTTTTATGGTACTGTATATTATTGTTTTGCACTGCCTTTACTTTAAAATGATTTAATTTTGTAAAAGATTAAAAAATGTATCAGATTTAAATAAAAAAAGGAAAATGAAGAAATGTAATTATTTTATACTATATTAGAGCTATGAAAATTTAATAACACAAAAAGTAAATAAAGAAAGAAATAGGTATAACAATACACATTAAAATATATTTAAAAAAAATATTTTTATTTATTAAAATGTATATACATATTTATTTTAAATAATTCATTTTATTTTAAATAAAGAAAATGAAGTCTGTAAATATATGTATAAAAAGTAATATACAGTACATATAAATAATGAAAAACTGAAAAGAATACTAATTTGTATACATTCATACATGACACATTACAGTAATGGGAATTTGTCATGAAAATAATGCCACATTTCAAAATAAATTAAATAAATAAAAATTACTAATTTCATTCACTTTTTATGTAGACTTCATTTTTTAATGTAATATAACATTTTATTTTTTATGTACTTTTGACAATCTACAAAAAGATGCTCTGCCATATTAAGGAACTTCTCAACCATATGTACAATAACATATGACTTGCCAAGGTTATTATAGTTTTGAATTTTTAAATTAGTTTTATTTTAATATCGTTTTCAAATTAGCTCTTTCGTTTACGAAAATAACCTTGTGACTTGCCCATGTTTACAAATTAACAGCTATCCAGTATTCTGAAACTTGGAACATCAATTAACAACACCTCTGTGAAAAGGAAGTTGTTGAAGGATTATGCAATGCTAATTATATTGGAGCCGATAGCAAATCCACAACCTGCCATATTGTTACTCATTTCACATGCAAAATGATTGAATCATAAGAAGTAATTTACATACAGAGTAGGGAAAACAAATAAAAATGGCCTTTAAAATGTACACGCAGACTTACTTTTTGGGCGGCACCTGTCCGACATTGACTTTTACGCAGATGACCTTGCGCGTTTGCACGCCCATGGTGCAGGTGGACTTGTCTGTGCTGGAGGAGGTATTGAGGGTGGATGTGGTTGTGTCCTCCACGCACTGTCCCCAGGGGCCCGTCTGCCAGTGATACACGATGCAAGGATGCTCATTACAGTTCCGCACCTCCTGCAGGGCGCTGGTGTTCGGACAGCTGGAACCTCCTGCAAGAGTGTGAAGACATGCATTAGGTCTGACACGTGTCTACACTTCATGTCACACCACCACAGCTCGAGGATCTCCACACTGGAAGTGTTCAAGATGCCCATCAACTCAGGAGAAGAAAATAATAAACAACAACCAGAAATTTACTATGCTTCAGTAACATTTTTAAAAGTTTTCTAAGAAGTCTCTTATTCTCATCAAGGTTGCATTTATTTGATAAAAAAAACCCTGCATATTATTAAAGTTTAAAATAAAAGTTTTCTATTTTAATATAGTTTAAAATAGAATTTATTCCTGTGATGCAAAGCTGAATTTTCAGCATCATTACTCCAGTCTTCAGTGTCACATGATCCTTCAGAAGTCATTCTGATATGCTGATTTATTATCACTGTTGGAAACTGTTGTGCTGCTTAATATTTTATTGGAACCTGTGATACATTTTTCAGGATTCTTTGATGAATAAAAAGTTAAAAAGAACAATTGAAAACTTAAAAATATATTGAAATTAAAAATTATTTTGTGTAGCAAATGCAGGGGTGTGAAGTAACGAATTACAAATACTCACGTTACAGTAATTAAGTAGTTTTTATCAGTAATTGTACTTTTTTGAGTGGTTTAAAAATGGTGTACTTTTACTTTTACTTGAGTACATTTTAAGTGATGTATCGGTACTTTTACTCCGCTATTTTCCTCCGTTTGTAGTTGTTACATGCTTATTTTAATTTCATTTTTATCCATCAACGTGATTGGAGAGAGAGTAATAGGTCTCGTGACTTTCCTCCAATCAAATTGTGCATAGACAACCTTAACCGC